AGGTTCCTCCACTTTGGCTTTCTTGGATTTCGGAGAATGAGTAGATGGCCTCCTTCATCTCTTCTTCTCTTCGTCAGGTTTTGGGGTATCTATTTTACCAAGCAGTGCTTCCCTCATAAAGGAGACCTCCCCAGACCTGCGCAAATGCAAAATATAAACACGGGGAATGAGGACGCTCTCAGCGATAGTTCTTTTATGAGGTACAATTGCAGCATAAGTAAAGGCTCACTGTGGTCCTTGGCTTCCCATCGAGCTTGGAACAGATCACGCCACACGCGCTCAACGTATGGGCAAATTGAATCCAGCTGGTTAACCTAGCCCGAGAGATCCTTAACCACAATAGGGTACACTCTGACGGCTGTATCAACGGAGGAAATCAGTTCGTAGGGAGATGTACCCAAAAAGAAACAAGAGAACATTTAATTAGCATATCTACTTACGTTTCATGTTCCACCTTTCAAGGAACGACATCCTCTCCACTGGAATCGGGTCCAAAGTCCTAACTCGGACAAAATGGCTTATTCATCCTCGGTTCCTAACCTCGTCGGTACAAGCAAAAAGGGCTCTCGAGGCCTGATAGTGGAGCTTAATCAGGCCCCCACGAATGAGTCGGGGACTATACATTCTTATCAGGTGGTCGAGAGTGAAGGGCATCCCCTTAATCATGTTCGCATAATATCGGGTCATGTAAACGAAGCGCCAGAACAAAGGATGAATTTGGCCGAGAGTCACTCAATATCGTTCGCAGAAGTCAAGGACCACGGGGTCTAATGAAGGCGAGGATGGCTCCACCGGGCCAAGGGTAAACGGATAAGTATACACACTGAGGAAGCCGGCCTTGTATGTCGTTATGTTCTCCCCTGAGAAGGAATCTCCACAAGACCCGCATCCCCCCATCGGTAGTCGGTCTTCACCCTTTCGACGTCTGCTATTGAACTAACATATTGGGACACAGGTTCGCGTTGTCCCAGCTTCGAAAAAGGTTTTTCGGTCTTAAAATCAGAGGTCGTTTCAAAGGCTCCTGGAATGCATTCCCTGACGCTAGGGGCCATTGTTGCTTTGCCCTTAGACGAGCGCGGGAAGAGGAAGGCACATCTTCCCGAGGGACAGAGGTGGAAGTTTTTGCCATTCTTGTCAAAAGATTTCAAAGGAGAAATGAAAATTGCATTTCGGAAGAGAACACAAGAGAGAGGTAAGAAGAACTCTTTTGAGGGCTTGGTGGTGCAGTGGAAAATAAGGAGCGAAAGAAGAAGTATTTATAGAGGTCTAACGTGCACGTTGGAGCAGACCAAATGATAGCCAGTCGTTGTAATTAATTCAAATGCATTTAAGGGCTATGTGGACGCGGTCTTTAGGCACCTCATTTTGTCGCGTCAATCGCTTGGTAGGGCGTGACTACCATCGTGATGGTAGTATCGAAGGGGCAAGAATTCGAGATCGTTTTTTATCGTTTTACCCTAAGAAACGCGGGGACCATTTGTATACAGATAAAATTGGAGAGCCCGATTTTACGATCATTGTGTCTTTCCGTAGCTTCACCTTCAAGGCCCGGGGCACAGTTCGAGGTTCAACCTCGATGGTTCTTTATGTCCGACCTCGGGGTAGCACAAATCGATGGTTATCATGGATAAGCGAGAAGTTCCCTAGGCACGTTGTCAAAACTGACAACACCTACAAGAATAGTACCAGTTTGTACCAGACTGTTAAGTAGTTGTACCAACTATATTTCTTTGTAATAAGTGCGTATGTACTATATTGAGATTCTCCTCCTATATAAAGGGGACCCTTGTTATTTCTTGAAAAAATGATAGACAACATTCAATACAAGAACATTCTCTACTCTCTAACTTAAACTCATTCTATTACTTACATTTATTGCTTACATTTATTGTGTTTCATTAATTGTTCTTCATTTACTACTCATTATTGATCATAAAGAACTTTTATCAAAGCTCTTAGAATTGTTAGTCCACCATTGGTCGTTCACAGCCTAACTCTTAGCTCGATCTCGAGGCCCCGTATAGGCCAGCTCGAGGCCCCGATTCTCAGCCACTCTGTTTGCTTGACACACTGCCTTCAAGCTCTTATCTTATTTTCTAGTCTCACACTTAGCATCTACTGCCTAACAACTAGCATAAAAATAAATCACGTATTTTTATAACCACAAAATCAAATCTAATTGTAATTACCATTTTCAACGTAAACACATATACTCCCTCCATTTTAATTTGTGTGAACATATTTGACTGCGCACGTAGTTTAAGACAAAAGAAAAATACTTTTGAATTTGAGGTGTAAAATGATGCACAAATATTTTGTGTGACGGTAAATCATTGTATAAAGGTAAATTATTTACAAATATGAAAAGAGATCATTCTTTTTGGCAATGACTAAAAAGTAAAATAGATTCACATAAATTAAAACGAAGGAAATAATATTTTTTTTACATAATTCTCAAATATATAAATATTATTTTAAAAAACTTGAAGATTCTATTGTTCGAAGTGTATCCAACAAATTGAAATGGAAGAAATACTAGTTACTACACCACGTATGTCAGATATTCCCCATAGTCCATTCACCGAACAGGCAGCGATTGAGCCAGTTCGTGGGTGGGTACTGGACCTGGCCAGGCACTGACAGGGATAATACATGGTTGAATCCTGGTCCTAGCCAGACATTGAAAGAGCCATGACACCTTCAAATCCGGTGCCTAGCTAGACAATATTAGACATTGATTGAGCCAAGACGATCTATGGGTCAACTTCTCTTTAGTTATCAAGAGACACAACAGGTCCGCAGCTTTAGCACAAAGGTATAGTAGCTTTTATATCAAATTACCAAAATATTATTTTACACATAATTTTCATAACTGGAATTGATCCATGAATCTTTCATAGGCACATTTGAGTAATATGAAATTATGTCTTACACAACAATAATTTCAATTATTATCCAGCAGAAAATTCAATCATAACGTGACACAATTCTTAACAAGCCACCGATGAAATGATGACATTTCTAGTCAAGATTTTGTATACTAAAGTCTAAAAACATATATAACTAAATGAATAGGACTAGAAGACTTAAATAACTAATAACGATACTAACAAATTCGCCCCCAATGATATAAAAGTTAGCTTAGCAGTTAGCCAAACTGGTGGCTGAATCAGATATTGTATGCATAAGAAGATAAAAGCTAGTTGCCACTGTTAGAATATACTATAAGTCATGCGTATTGTTATAGTATTCTTTATGAATAATTATTTATTTACTTGTTTAAATTCAATAAATTTCATTTTAAATAGATCATGTGTTGGTTTGTGCGTCCATTGCTTACATAGTAGATGATTTAATGTATAGAGTTTAGCTTATGCACGGAAGATTAAATCATCGGTGCTTGTAAGACATAAAAGTTAATGTTCACAATCTAATGATGGAATTGGACAAATCATCGGAATGATTGTAGCACGAGATTAAATATAATTATGGGAATGGTTTAATTCCAACTTCTTGTGCTAGTACTTTTTGTATGTATTGAACGGATCAAGTAGAGATGAGTATTTTATACTGACTTTATAAAATAATTTCTCTAGTCCATTTAATGTACTTATACTCTTAATCCTGATATAATTATTATTAGCTGTGTATGTCACTTGTTGTTTTGATTTATTGAAAGGCGAGATTCTTTCGCGAGTCAATAAGCCTGGGAAATTGGATAACAATGATATACATTGGCGAAGCAATAATTAGTTGGTGGAATCCATGTCTCAATTTTGAGATTGATAATACTCCTTTATGAAAGCTTATAAGTTTTCATGCGTAAACCCGGCCGGTGGATTTTGTATCCGACACATGAAATAAGTTAAGTATAAGTCTAAAGGAAGTAATCAATAAATTAAATAGTCAGTAATTTAATTTGATTGATTAGTATCTGAATCTTAACATGGGGAGTTAAATAAGGTTTTATGGAAGAATTTCGAAATTGAACTAAGGATTGCAATTACGAATTTTTAGTGGAATAATTCGTAATTTATTATGATGGAAATTAGTTTCAGAATTTCGAAATTAATATCATAATAGGAAGCCTTGTTAATTAAATTCTGTGGTCTCTACTGTGCCTAAATAATAGAAAATAGTGGAAACTGTTACTTAGTGGGAAAGAAAACATGGAAACCGTCCCTTAGTGGGAGAAGGAAACCTAACAGGTTTTGAAAACGGTTTTGACTTAAAAACGCAGGTATATATATGGATATAAGGGCTGGACGTTTGGGATGTGATTCTGACTGCGGTTTCTACTAGAATTTTGCCCACCCAAAATTCTCTATTTTCGGTTATTGTTTGGGTAACACAGTAGAAGACTGTGGAAATCTGCTGATGTGTGGTATTAACTGAGGAACTGGAGAACGACATAGATTTGTTGTGTTTACGCTTCAAGAGGTAACCCTAAAATCTCCATACGTGCTAGTTGTTTAGATTACACGTGAATAAAATTCTGCTATTGCTTCCGCTGTAGTATATATTCCAACAGCCACCGCCAAATACTAATATGCCATTCGATTTTTATCAATCCTAGGTTTAATCAATTGGACCACTTCAAGTTCAATCAGACCATCACAATATGATTGATTCGTTGTAAATATAAAGATTATAAAATTGTAAAAGAAAGTGTGCAATTTTTTCTAAGAAGAATCCAATGCAGAAAACAAAATTGAGTAACATTTTCAACTACCATTGAATGTATTTTAGCCTCACAACAAAATTATGACGAAAGACTCCTTTTTTTTCCTTTCCTTTCTTCACATGGAAAACTAACTTCCATTTTTCACCTACAAATATAAACAAATGATATTCATTACGGCCTTCTTGCTTTAAATGCTTGCTGGTCTGCTTATGTTGATATATTAAAATGATATATTAAAAGCCGTAAAGAAAATCACTATTGATTCATATATCATGAACTTGAGGCCCTTAAATTAGAATTGATGAAAGCAAAGATTGAGGGTGATACACATATCCTATTATTTCTTTTCTTCATTTTTAATCTCTCAGTCTTCCCTTTATATCATTACTTGTTTCCATATTCTTTTTCCTAATTTGACTAAAATAATCCAAGGGCGTAAATTAGGAGTAGAAAAGTTGCTGAGGTAATGATGAGAAGGAAGGGCACTAGTCGGCGTGGCTTTTTCTCTCATTACTAGCACGCTGGCAACAGAAGGATACCAAAGTTAAGGTAGTGACTCTTAACTCTTCACGTTACAAAAACCTCAAAACATTTTCAAGAACTGATTTTATAGTTCTTTGGGAGTACTATAATAACCTGAAATATTTCCAAGTTTGTATAAATTCTTTTTCTTTCAGATTTCGCCTTTTTTTTTAATTTAAAGTTAATTTTTTCTTATATATAACTAAATATTCTTCTGGCTCTACGTTTCTCTTAAAAAATTGATTTGTGTTTCTATCATCCTTTGATCTTGATGAGATTTTTGAGTGCCATAACTTCTTCTCTTGGAATGTCTAAATCAAATGGGGTAGAGAATTTGACTGACAAGACAAGGATTTGGAAGTGCTTGATATTCTTGGTTCATGACATTTTGGCTATGATTAATATAAATTGAGGCTCTGCTGGGAAGATACCAACAAATACAGAAGTTCAGTAACTCCTTTGTTTCGTTAATTATGCCTTCCTCCTACACAGTTCTTTGCCCTTTTCTCTTCTCTTTTCCCCGTTCCCTTTAAGAACTATTTGGGGTTTGATTAAAAAAAATTCTTGTTTTGTTTACCAAATATTTTGTCAGTATAGTTAGTTGTTGTTTTTGTCTTTCCGACAATATCTACTGCTTGCAGCTGGAAGAGGATCTTTTCAAGGTAGGGTTGTCCTAAAAAAGGTGAAGTTTTCAACAGTTATGGAGATGGTTTTGTCTCTCTAACTATTCTATGGTCTAAATTTTGCTGAATTAACAAACAAAAAGAGACCTCAGATATGAAGTTTATGAAACTAGGATCTCGGCCTGACACATTCTTCACTACCGAGGCTGTTAGGTAACTTCAACTTTACTTAATCCTGAATTAAAGAAAGATAATGGAGTAACCAATCTTTTTCTTTACTTGATACAGATCAGTCTCCTCAGAGATTTCAAGTGATCTCATAGTTCAAGTAAAGGGTAGCAGATATTTGCTTCACAAGGTTTAATTCTCTACCCAACTCTCTTCTTTTGTTATCTTTTAAACCTTGTCATAATCTGTTTTCTTGAAAAAACAGTTTCCCTTGCTGTCCAAGTGCTTGAGGCTGCAGAGACTCTGCGTTGAGAAAACCTCTCAACACGAAATAGTCGAGCTACAAGATTTTCCATGTGGCATAGAAGACTTTGAGTTGTGTGCTAAATTCTGCTATGGAATCACCATCACTCTCAGTGCTCACAACATTGTTTCAGTACGCTGTGCAGCAGAATATCTACAAATGACTGAGGATGTAGAAAAGGGAAACTTAATTTGTAAACTCCAAGTATTCCTCAATTCTTGTGTTCTTTCAGGTTGGAGAGACTCAATTGTGACATTACAGAGCACCAAGGCATTTCCTTTATGGTCCGAAGAACTTGGCATAACAAGCACATGTATTGAAGCTATTGCATCAAAGGTTTTAGCCCATCCTCTCAAAATGAATTTGTCACATAGCTACTCGAGAAGAGGCGGAAGAGATGATATTTCTTGCAATGGATCACAAAGCCTAAGGCATAATAAACCTTTATCCAAAGACTGGTGGGCTGAAGATTTAGCAGAATTGAGCATTGATCTCTATTGGAGAACCATGATAGCCATTAAATCAGGTGGAAAAGTAGCAGCTAGTCTTATTGGTGATGCATTGAGAATTTACGCGTCTCGATGGCTACCAAACATATCAAAACATGCAAACCTTGAGAAGAATAAGCACTCTGATTCAGATTCAATTGGGAAATACAGGCTGCTTTTGGAATCAATTATAAGCTTATTGCCTACTGAAAGAGGAGCTGCTTCTTGTAGTTTTCTGTTGAAATTGCTTAAAGCAGCAAACATTTTAAAGGCTTCCTCTTCATCAAAGATGGAATTGGCAACAAGAGTTGGACTTCAATTAGAGGATGCTACAGTTGGTGATCTCTTAATACCTTGTGTATCAAAAACAAGTGATACAATTTATGATGTGGATATAATTATCACCATATTAGAGCAGTTCATGTTACAGGGTCAGAGTCCACCAACAAGTCCTCCAAGAATGAAAGAGGATTTTGTGAGAAGAAGATCTCGGTCCGCCGAGAACATTGACCTTGAGTTTCAGGAAAGCAGGAGATCATCTTCAGCATCACATAGCTCTAAACTTAAAGTAGCTAAGCTTGTGGATGGATATCTCCAAGAGATTGCCAGCGAGGAAAAGTTGCCTCTGTCAAAATTCATTTTCATTGCTGAAGCAATCCCAGAATTCGCTAGGCTTGACCATGATGATCTTTACAGAGCCATTGACATCTATCTTAAGGTAAATTCGAGATTACATCATGCATATCTCTTTCAATTTATTTTTTAATTCATAAAATCAAGAATTCAAGAATAATTAAGTCTACTTGTAGTTCCAGAAACTGAAATTCAAGTAGAAGTAGAAAGGTACTATTTGAAGATAACCTAGATGTTAGAAGATACAATGTGGGCCAATTTCATTTTAGCAGGTAACCAACTCCTTAGACCACTGAAATTTCTCAAGTCAAGATCCTGTCAAAATCAGGAGGTTTAATTCTTTTTTTTTTACTAGGCATAGTTATAGTCAGGGGCGGATTTATGTATGAGATTGTGGTGCCACGCCACGCTTGGGTAAAATGTTGTGTATACTTTAATATTTTATACACAATTCGTATATATGATGGTTTGCACTCACAATCACAAATGTACTCTAGGTTCTGTGGTCGCTGAGCAAAACTCCCAAAATTAAGATACACGATTGATACTCATTTCTTGCGTTCCTATGCCAATTCATCCTTGTTCCCTGTTCTTTCTTCTCTTTTTGCTCCTTTTTTATTTCATTAATTTCCTTATCTTTGGGTTCCCTCCTCTTTGAAACCCATTTTTATTATTTAATAAATTGTTTCCTTTATCTTTTTGATCTAGCACTTCAAAATGTTACTTGAATGTGATTTTAATGTTTTATCTTTTTATCCATCTACTGTTATTTTTTCTCGATATCCAACATTTTTATGAATGATGATAGGATTAATAGCACATAATATGTAGATTGAAGGGGTGTACTTGTTAATTTTTAATTTTTATTTTTTATTTTATACTTTTTAATCACATTGAATAAAGAAAATTAGATTAGATTGGACAAAACTTATTCGATTTGATGATCATGTATTTACTTATGATTAAAAAATTGTGTACATCGAGTTGAATTAATGGATCGAACCGATTAAATGTACACACTAATTCAATCTCCTTTATTATTGGTAGGTTCGCATTAGAGACCGTGGCTTCAAATCATGGATCCGCCTCTGGTTATAGTATATGTAAAATCCTTTTTTTTGGGTGAAGAAATTGAACATGAACAATGATGACCATTCCTTTTTCTGATTTAACACTTATGTAGACTTGCAACATACCGAATGTAGTTTAAAAATGTTTTGTCTTCTCTCCCGTTCAACATGTTTCACTTATTTTTTCTAGTTACTTGTAGTTATATATCTTGATTTAATTGTTTTCTTACCGTATCATTGTACAGTAGTTAAACTCTTCCCTTCTTACTATGAAAATGCAGGGGCATCCAGGTCTGAACAAGAATGAAAGAAAGCGTTTGTGCAGAATGTTAGACTGCAAAAAATTATCCATGAAAGTGTGCATGCATGCAGCTCAAAACGAATTGCTCCCATTAAGGGTAGTAGTTCAAGTTCTGTTCTTCGAGCAAGCTCGAGCCACCATGTCTGGTGGCCATATAACTGAGCTCCCCAGCCACATCAAAGTGCTTCTTGCTAACCATGATGACATATCAAAGACTTCTGCATCGTTCAAAATGACACCTGCAGATGACCAGTGGAGTGCCTCAGGCAAGCTTTCAACACTGAAAATGAAGCTGGCAGAAAATGAAGATTTGGATGAAAATTATGTTGATGGAAATGGGACATCCTCACGAATAAAAGCTTCCTGCATATTTCCTAGTCGACCTAAGAGAATGTTCAGTAAGTTATGGTCCAGCAATAGATCAGTTGCAAGTGAAAAGAACTGAATTTTATTTGCTTAGTTTCTTGGTTAATAGCGTTTGGGGAAGGGCAGGGGGCTATTTCAAGGGTAAAGTATACTCTGTTCGCCACAATTCTTGCCAGTTAAATATCTATTTATCTCTTTCGTTACTTCTCGGAAAACAAGTTGTAATCTTTATGAAAGGAAAATCCAATGTGAATTATTGGTTTATCCTATCCAATAAAAATATTGTTGCGGAAGATCGTGAGTTAACTAGCACATAATCACACACAAAGCACATAAAAAAAATGAAAATTTAATGAGGTTCAGCTAAGCCTCATTCTCGTGACAACAAAAAGAGAGAATTTTCCATTTATCAAAAAATCTCCTCCTACAAGCCCTATATATAAATCTCAAGTAATCATAAACCTATAATAGAATAGTTTTCCCAATTCTACAAGAATAATAGGTTTTCCTTTCCCAATCAATTAGAATAATGTGTTTTCCAAACGTAAAGGCATTATGGGGTTTTTTTGAACCCGAAAAAAAAGGCTTTCCTTTCCCAATCAATTAGAACAATGTGTTTTTAAAACGTAAAGGCATTATGGGTTTTTTTTTCTTCTAAAAAAATGAGAAAAAAAATTCAAGACACAATTAACAAATTTTTCTTCTAAAAAAATGAGAGAAAAAAATTCAAGACACAATTAACAAATCTTCCCCTAGGCTTGAATTCTCTTTATCAATAGGAATTACATCTCCTTGCGTAGCCCTTAGCCGTTGCAAGGACTCTTTCCATCATGAACACATCAACCAAATCTAGGAAAAGCCTAAACTTATTAAGAGGCTCAATCTTTGCAGCCATAATATTAATCGATCAATTTGGTTTTGCATCCGAAAGAGCTTTTGGATAGCTATTAAACTGAAGCATAACAACGGTCTTTACAAAAGTAAATCCTACAAGACTTGCATATCCAAGAAGATTCCTATCAATTACGTTTGTAAGCCTTTGTGATCCGTTAATCACTCTCTTTCTGTTGCTTGTTGCAATGGTAGTTGGTTTCTTTTGCACATGTACATATGTACACGGGTAAAATCGAGGCTAATGAGTACCACGATTTTTTAGTGGGTCAAACGAAATAAGGACATGACTACGTGGGATCAGAATCGAAGCTGGGAACTTCTCGTATTATGGCCCGAATGGAGTACTCACCACCGCGCCCGACAAGACAACACCCCCGAACCCCGTACGAGCTCCAAGACCTCAGAAAGCACTACAAACGGTTGAACACGACTAATAGATAATCGCGATATCCGCACCCAACCGGATATCACGTCGCGGATCTCGCCCGATTCTGGTAGCATATCAGTAATTGACGCACAAAGAGGAATTTTTACTTCTTTTTTCAGAATTGTACTTGGGGTAAAAATCCCCTACTATATAAAGGGGAAATTTCTTATTCAATAGACACACTGTAACAGACATATCAAGGCAACACAAACTTTTTTCTCTGCTTTTTAGTTATTGAAAAGTTCTTATTTGATCATATTTCTTCATATACGGTTGGCTCCGATTTGAGGGTACGGTCGAGGACAGAACTATTGTTAAGCTTAAATTCGAGCCCGGACTCAACGTCACAACTGGTTTGATTATCCATAGTACCTTTAATTCTTTTATCTAACATTCTTGATCATTTATGTTGAATCAATCTACATATCTTTAAAATCGTGTATAAACTCAATTGTTATCCATTTTAAAGGTAAACAATTTGGCGCCCACACTGAGGCTAAGGATAATAGTGGTGATTTGATATAAATTTCTATAACACACTCTATTTTACGCTTGTTCTTTAAGTTTTAATTTTAGGTTCTCTTATTGATGTCAAATTCTCTGTCTAATCAATTGAACGTTCAGGCTGAATCTGGCCATTATGGCGAAAACAACGACCTAGTGCCTAGCAATGAGGTCCCCCAGCTAATCCCAATGAAGTCCTGTCTGCCGATCTAATCGACGCCAATTCACAAGTCGCTATCGACGTACATTTGCCAACTGACCCCGAAAATAGCGTCCGTAGAGGCCCTCGACCAACAGTCTGAGAAACGCCTCAAGGTGAAGGTGATTGGATAAGTTTGCGGCTAATCTTTGAAATTTTCCAGACTCAAAAGGCAGCAATAGCATAGCTAAAGAATTAAAGCCACCCCCTAGTAGGGTGGATCCCGAACGATCCCGGGAGAATAACGAAGAAACGAGAAAACCACCGAAAGATCGGGTGAAGCTGAGCCCGGGGCCAACCCCAGGATAATGAAAATGCTTGAAGCACTAATGAAGAGGGTGGAATCAAGTGAAAAGAAAATTAAGGAAACGATAAAAAGGTGGAAACATATAACTTCAGTATAGATCAAATCCCGGTAGCACCCCGATATTAAAAGGATCGAATTCCAAGAAGTTTATCCAAAAGCCTTTCTCTCCGAGCGCTGCACCAAAAAGGATCCCGAAGAGGTTTTGTATGCCTGATATTCCAATGTACATCAGAACCACAGGTCCAAACGAGCATGTGACCTCCTATACATGCGCCATCAAGGGAAACGACTTCGAAGAAGATGAAATCGAGTCGGTTTTGCTAAAGAAGTTTAGGGAAACCCTATCAAATGGAGCGATGATATGGTATCACAACTTACCCCCAAATTCTATTGATTCATTTGATATGCTTGCAGATGATTTGGTGAAAGCACATGCCGGGGCCATCAAGGTCGCAACCAGAAAATCAAACCTTTTTAAGGATAAGCAAAGAGACAACAAGATGCTCAGGGAGTTCGCGTGAAGGTTTCCAATAAAACGGATGGACTTGCCTCCGGTCACTGATGATTGGGCCGTTCAGGCATTCACTCAAAGACTTAACCCCCCAAGCTCCTTGGCTTCGCAACAGCTAAAACAAAATTTACTTGAATATCTGGCAGTAACTTGGGCCAACATCCACAATAGGTACCAATCAAAAATCAGAGTCCAGGACGACCAACTCGGGACCCCTTCTGGGTCAGTGTCCCTATTAGAATCGACGACAGGTCTAAGAGAGTCATCAATCATGAACCAAGATCGATCCGAGATAAGTGTCAACCATATGATGGAGATCGCAAGGGAAATGGGTTTGGGCATCACTCCACGAGGAACGAAAGGAGAAACGATCGTAGGCCCAATAGCCGAGGTTTGATGAGTAAAAATGGTTTTGACAGATCACTCGGGGCCAAAGAGGCACTAAGATTGTTGGAATATAACATCAACGTCAATGCTTCCAGTATCGTGTCAACCATCGGACATATCAGGGATACCAAGCGGCCTCGACCATTACTGTCTGACCCTAACTACAGATATCCTAACTTGATGTGTAAGTATCATGGAACTCAAGGCCACAAGACCGAGGAATGTCGGCAATTGAGAGAAGAAGTTGCTCGGTTGTTTAAATAATAGGCATTGTCACACCTCCTTTTTACGCACCCGAAGGTAGTACAAGGGATTTTTTCCAATTTAAGTGACATTATTCGAAATGGGATTATTTATTCATTTTTTGTTCAGATTCGCCACTTGGGATGGTTTGTTTCTGGTGTCCCAAGTCACCGGTTCATTTTAAAATCCAAAATTGAGGAAAATTCGACTTTCCTTTTGAAGTATGCGAACCAGAAATTCTGAATAAGAAATTCTGTTAACGCGAGGAAAGGTGTTAGGCACCCCCGAATTCCGTGGTTCTAGCACAATCGCTTAAACTATTATAATTGGCTCATTATCTGATTTTAATACATGTTTTAGCCTATGGTATATTTTAAACTAATTAAATCGCTTTTAATTATTTTTAAGGAAGATTGCAACGCCATCTAAAACGCGTCTTTGGGCCACGCCACATGAAATGCACCCACAATCCAAGACACATTTATTTATCGTTGTTGAGATTTGGATCTGGGTCACATGAAATACACACCCGAGTTTAGGAAAGTAATTTTTAAAATAGCGCGCCTAAAGCAACTATGCACTATCAACTTTGCGAGGGCCATGGAAAATTCAACTAAATAGTGCACCTCGATTTCTAAGGATTAAAATTAATTAAATGAGGGCCATGCATTTTGAGATTTTATTTGGTACTGCACACCTCGATCCCAATTTTAAAAGAAACTCGAAACTAAGCTTTTGAGGGCCATAAATTGTACATTTGGTTAATATGGCACACCTCAAACTAATTTTAAGAGGCTAATTAAGTAATTAATGAGGATTGAAACATTCTAATTATTTTAGCTAAAGGTTTGACCTTACTTGTTAACCAATAGGTATCGTACTAGAGACCAATTATCTAAAGGAGATTGCAAAGCTGCATCTGATGAAACAGAAGATAGGCCCAAGCAGCAGAAAGGGTAAACGATCTATTACAAATGCCCTCAGGCTTTGGCCCAAATAAACCCAAATTGGTGAAGCAATGAACACCTCATGGGGTGCGTAATTGAATCTGAATTTGACCGTTCTTCAGCTGGGCCAACGTTAGGCCCAATTTTCGTGATCCAAATGATTCATACCTAAATCACATAATGCAAATCAACTGATGTTAACATGGAACATGAAGTCAAATTAACAAACTTAAACTCTGATTTTAAACATTTAACCCAAATTAACTAAGCTAAATTTCTAATTTTATCTTTCATGCATCCTTGAGTTACATATGCTATCAGAAAAATCCAATAGCCAAACGAATGAGCTGCTGGGCTCAAGAAATTAGCCCAAATAGCAACAACAGGCCATTTTCCCTTGCAAATGACTTCAGAATCCAAGGCTCGATGAGCCCAAACACTGTAACGAACAAGATTGAGGATTCCAGTCTCAACATCGAGTCTATACTAAAACAAAACGACCCTTTGCACTCAAACACAAACTGTTAAATCTCATCACTACCCAATAACTAATACACCAGTTTGAATACTACTAAGAATACATGCTTGACTTCAAACTGACAAATATTCATGCTTAAACTAAAGTTACAAACACAACATGAAACTTCAAACCAACTAACTCTTTTTCAATACCAAAAAGTAACAAAATCTAGAGGATTAACCAGCACCCAAACTCTTAAAAAGCACACATTAATTTGTATAGCATATTAAGAGCAAAGGAAAACTGAAAATAACGTGTACAACTTTAGATTTACTACAGAAAGGCTACAGGAATAGAAGAAGCAAAGAAGCAAAGATCAAAACAATTTCGCATTCAATCAAATTTTCACTCGAA